TTGGTCTGTCCTAATATATAAGACATTGATCTGTCCTAACATATATTGCTGGTAATAATTTTAATTCATCTAAAAAAATAAAGCGTTTGTTTATGTAACTGGCTGAGTCCTAAGTATCCTAAAAAGAAAAAAAAAATATTGAGAGACTAATGAATTATCTTGAATTCAAATTCCTGATGTTGTTGAAAATTGAACACCTTTGAACTAAAAGCAGATTTTTAGAACTTTCATTGGAATGTTAATATAACTATGAGTATTGCTAACTTAACTTCAAACAGAACAGAAATCAGTTATGTGGAACTGAGCTAGTTTGTTATGGCTTTTTGTTTGAAATATTGTTGATTCTGTCTATGTTCTGTTTTGCAGAAGTCAAGAAAACCATTTTCTGTCTTTTGAGCTATTTGTAGCTTTTCAAGCAATGTATGTACTTATGAGCAGTGTTTGAAACATGTATTTTTTCTCTCTCATTGATTTCTCCAGAATTTGAAAGCCATTTGTAAATATTTCTGACAATACAGTTATTTGCATAAGTTCAATAAGAATCTGTTTTGTTCTATAGGACATGGTGAAGGCACTGGTTATTTTATCAAGGCTTTGGCTGGAATAGCATTTTCAGAGGTGTCCAGACTGCATTAAGGAATTCAGGTTGACTTTATATGGCCAATAAAAAAGCCGTTTGAAAACGGGCCAGATACCCATCAGTAACATTTCCTGATTTGTGGTGCTTGCTGACGGGCCTGGGAATCGAAATGTGCTTGGAATTTGTAACTTGGAAATTTCCAAGTTCTATGAAATCCTGTAGTTCTGTAGGGGCTGGAATAGCATCTCCCGCTTGATTCAAATTGGCCAATGAGAGGGGTACCTGTGGTGTGGAACTTTTTGACTGTTAATAAAAAGGGAAAGACCAAGCCAGTCAGGGAGCATGCGGCCATTTGGAATTCTTCTATGCCATAAGCTCCCGGCCAATAAATAAAGCCCTTTCTCTTATAAACATGGTGTTTGGGTGCTCTTTCTCTTTCTCTCTGTCAGGCCTCATCTTCCTCCAACAAACTTAAGGTTACCTACTCAGCAATAACAAGAAAGAACAATCTGCCCTTCTTGGAATCAGGTAGAATAGTCCTCAAGTCCTATGTCTCAATCTGAATTTTTGGCAGAAAGTAACTTTTACAAGCATATATTCTTCAATCCAGAAATTTCTGCTCCCCGAGATAACAATTATCTATCTGCATTGTTCTGTGACTTTACCACCATAGGAAGGCTTCAAATAAATTTGGAGATAATTAAATAAAAATCAGATCTAGAATATTAACTTAGTGGTTTGCTAAAAATAGCTTGTATATATTTATCATTTAAGATGTTGGTTATTTTAATAATTAAAAAAACAAAAAATAATACTGCATTTTATATGGAGTCAGAAAAAACCTCGAATAGCCAAGACATTACTCAGGAATAAAAACAAAGCAGGAGGAATCGCGCTACCAGACCTCGGATTATACTATAAATCCATAGTGATCAAAACAGCATGGTACTGGCACAAAAATAGAGAGGTAGATGTATGGAACAGAATAGAGA